TTGCACTCACCAGAGAGAGACAGAGAAAGAAAAGAGAGAGAGAGAGAGATGGAAAATGAGAACTCTTATCTATCTCTTCCATGGAGAACATGTTGCAATCCCTTCTCTTCCATTTTCCCTTCTTTTGAGATTTTGGACACATACACATATGTGCCTGGTGTGTTTCTTAAACCACCAGATCTGGCTCTCAAACCATGCTGTCAGCCATGTAGAATTCAGTTGCCTTAACCACCGTGAAATGGGCTGGCCCTCTGTCTTCCCTTCTTAAGATCACCTTATAATTCAGAAAGACCAGTCCAGCTTCTATCATCATGTCAGCATTGCAGACAGAAAGAAGGAGCAAGTGAAAAAAGGATAAGAGGTAGACATCAGTTGTCTTATAATTAAAGTGTTTGGAAACTGTCATATAGTTCTGCTTTTATCTGATGGGGGGAACCTAGGGCAATGGCCATGCCTAGCTACAAGGGAGACTGGCAGAAATGAAATTTTCTGATTGACTAGTTACCCAGAAAAATATTAGAGGAAATACTGAAGAAATAAAACAACTGTTATCATGGTAGGACTAGGATTCTCTACCTGAGAGTAACTATTGGTCTCAGAACTTTAAGAAACATGTGGCAGTTATTTGTGGCATTAGCTCGTAAGTCTCCATTTCTTGTTGAAGACTGAATGACCTTATTCTAAGGGCTTACTTTTAAATAGTAGCAGTCTAATTGTTTAATCATTAGGTGGTTAATATTGTTTTTAATTGCAGGAGGATACATGCACGAGAGAGGGAGAGAGAGAGAGAGAGAGAGATCCCCTCACCATGGGATGTAGTTACATTGCAATCCCTTCTGTTCTATATCTCTATCCTATCCAGATTTTGTGCATGTATGCATGCCCACCATGGTTTTCAAGCCACCAGGGCCAGGATTTTAACTGCAGTTGGCCCTGTGGGATCCAATTTCTTTAATCACCAGGTTACAGGGCTGCCTAGGGGGTTAAAATTTTAAATGCATTGACTTTTGTGTCTTACCATTCATATTCTATATTTATTAATCTTGTTTTATTATCTGATCACTCTGTTAACACTTGATTATGTTAAAATTCTTTCTGTTTTTGTATTTCTTAATGATAACTATTGTTTTCTTTATCTTTAGGTAAAATTAGATGTGATCTAACTACTACATTTCAGTTCTCTGTAAGTTATCTTTCTCCTCTTTCTTAAGTTTATCAATGAACTTTATCCAGTTTTTTTTTTTTTGTTTGTTTTGAGAGGTTTTTGCTATAGGGCACATGCGCTCACCAGAAAGAGACAGAGAGACAGAAAGCGAGATAACACCCCCCGGGGGAATGGCCATCCTGCAATCCTTCTCCTTCATTCTCCTCTCGGGATCTTGGGCACATATACACACGCGCCCGGTGTGAGTTTAAACCACCGGATCCAGGACTTGAACCATGGTCGACTATATGGGAGTACAACGACATAGCCATTACACCAACTGCTGGTCCCAACTTCATCCAGTTTTTATTTTGCATATTATTTTGAAGATTTTAAAGCAGTGTATAGAAATATCACATGGAGGGACCAGCAGGTAGTGTAGTTATGGTGTTGGACTCCACATGACTGACCTTGGTTCAAGTCCTGGACACAGCGGCTTAAAACTCATGCCAGATGTGTGAACATGCCCAAATTCCCAGAAAGAGAATGGAGGAAAAGGGATTGTGGCGGGGCCAGCCCCCTGGGCGGTGATTTTTCACTTTCTCTTTCTGCATCTCTCTGTCTCTGAAGAACCCACATACCCTATAGCAAAAAATTCTCTATAAAAAATTAAATAGCACATGGATCTATTAGGTTATTGGAAAAGTCATGATGCATTTTTTTTAATGTTTTTCTATGCAAGAATACAACATGACTTTTCCAACAACCTAATATATACATTCACATGTTAACATGAAGTGATACACTTAGATATTTAACTCAATGGAAATCCAAAAAAACTTCACCAAACATCTACTAATGAACATATTTATGTTGTTGTTTTGACCTAAAAATCTAAGTTTTCAACAAAAGCAAAGAATATTAAGTTTAGACCTTTTGCAATAGTTGGCATAGTTAAATTTAGCATTTATGGCTCTGACATTCCATGAAGGATCCAAATATTCATAATAAGAATTAAGATAAACATATCCACCTTCTAAAGACATTCATTTTCATACTGGAAATACCAGTATGAATTTAAGATATATGACTGCAAGGCTTGAAATTGGATAAATACGATTTACTGGTAAGAAAACCTAGCCAGCTGATTAGCATCTGTATGTCAATTAACAGAATTCATAATTTTGAGTATTGTAGAGTTCTAAGGATGTGATATTGAGGATGCCAAAGATAAATATATCAATTTTGTATGCCCAAATTCCCAGAAAGAGAATGGAGGAAAAGGGATTGTGGCGGGGCCAGCCCCCTGGGCGGTGATTTTTCACTTTCTCTTTCTGCATCTCTCTGTCTCTGAAGAACCCACATACCCTATAGCAAAAAATTCTCTATAAAAAATTAAATAGCACATGGATCTATTAGGTTATTGGAAAAGTCATGATGCATTTTTTTAATGTTTTTCTATGCAAGAATACAACATGACTTTTCCAACAACCTAATATATACATTCACATGTTAACATGAAGTGATACACTTAGATATTTAACTCAATGGAAATCCAAAAAAACTTCACCAAACATCTACTAATGAACATATTTATGTTGTTGTTTTGACCTAAAAATCTAAGTTTTCAACAAAAGCAAAGAATATTAAGTTTAGACCTTTTGCAATAGTTGGCATAGTTAAATTTAGCATTTATGGCTCTGACATTCCATGAAGGATCCAAATATTCATAATAAGAATTAAGATAAACATATCCACCTTCTAAAGACATTCATTTTCATACTGGAAATACCAGTATGAATTTAAGATATATGACTGCAAGGCTTGAAATTGGATAAATACGATTTACTGGTAAGAAAACCTAGCCAGCTGATTAGCATCTGTATGTCAATTAACAGAATTCATAATTTTGAGTATTGTAGAGTTCTAAGGATGTGATATTGAGGATGCCAAAGATAAATATATCAATTTTGTAGAGGCCAAATGTCTAGGCAAGATAGTGGTTCTTAAAATTTAGAAAGAGGAATGCCAATTACATTGGAAGCTGCGTAGTGTTCACAAATTTCCAGGTCTTTACTTAGAACAGATTGGTGCATGGGGTGAAAATTATCTACTCATGAAAATAAATGGAAAATTTAGCAATTTAGAATGAGATATATTAAAATACGGTATCAATATTTTTAATTTATTACATTCTAATGGCTCAATAGTTAATAGCTTTAGTGACACTCATTTTTAAGCCATTGCAGCAAATTTCTCTCTTTGTCCCTTGGTTTAACTCATCTTTTTTGTCATAATATGCAACATGGCCAAAGATTCTATCCTCCACTATTTTATTCAGTTTATTCCTGCATATTCAATGACAACAAGTAAATATTAGGAGATAGAGCAATCTAAGAATCAGTTAATGTGGATTACCCTAACCTGACACAGGTGGTAGTTTCCTAGTTCTGAGGATTCTAGCATCACTGTCCCTTATGACTTAACTACTTTTCCTGTTTGAGAATCATGAAACTCTGTCATACTTAGATTTCTCAAACATTAGCGGATTTTTTTTTCTTTTCCTTTTTTTTTTTTTTTTTTTTACTTAAGACACTTTGATAAAGGTAGACTCCATGCTTATGAAAAGTTATACCTTCAGCTGTAAATCGTAACATTGCATTCAAGATTAACGAGGTGGGGCCAGTGAGATTTTGATCTTGCATAAATAAAAAATAGTCTTAGCATCAGATTTTAAGGATAGTCTAGGGGACATAAGCAAGCTACTTATATCTTGTGGATCTTATTAATGTTCCCTCTGGATTATTGTTACTACAGAAGCTGAATTTATCTGCCAATAAGAAAGAACTAAATCAATACAATTGGCCAAAAGAAAGAAAGTGTATGATGCTCTTGACTAGAATTTATTGCCTAAGTTGATAACAAGTAAGTAAATAACATTGAAATACAGCTAATCTCATCACATGCAAGGAAGCAAAGAAATCGAGAAAGCCAAAGGATGTGAGTAAACATTGATGCCATGTTACTTGTGGCTTTGATTAGCAATGAACTTGTATTGCTAGTCAAGGGCCTTGAAAGTTTAGAGTAACAACATGCTACCGTTCCCAAGTGTGTTAACTCTGGTTCCAGTTTTAAGCTTTCAAATCTCCTATTTTCTTTGTGTTAAATGTTTGTAACTTCTACAAACATAAAATTACGTGCTGTGCAGTGAAAACACACTTCATAAGAGTTCATCAGCTGGTGACACCAGAAAACAATTCTAAAAAATGAACAGTCCTGTTTTTAATTTTTTTCTTAATTTTTCTTTTTCAGAGGACTGGTGACCAGACCCATGCATTCATGTTGTATATTGGGACTCCTGTACACAAATTCAGACTCTCTCTCTCTCTCACACACACACACACACAGACTCACATTTACACAAAAAACTAATTGAAGATATAGTCACGGTAGTATGTGTAATTTGCTATCCCTTTGCCTGTTAGTGGCCATTTTGCTACAGGCTATCATTTTTATTGCCAGTGGGAGTCAGTGATAGGCATAGAATTACTGCCTAATAATGACACCATTACTGCATGTCACTACTGTATTTGGACTTGGGGCTATTTGTAACTTGTTTGATTCCCAGCACAGAGCAGTAACTGAACAGACTATTCTAAATGTGCACATTTGTTATCCAGATACCATAGATCAGGGTCAGCTGGGAAGCATCAGACAGTACGTTCAGAGCTGCTGTAAACTCATGTTGAGTTATGTCTGCACACCAACCAAACACCATTCATTCTTGGCATTTTCAGATGGCACCAGCCTCTGTACTAGTAATTTGTGCATATTTGTGATTGAAAGTAGGTCCAGTAAGGGAAGCCATATGGTTTGCTGTTCAAGTCTGATGCATTCGTGAAGTAACAGATGTGGAATCAAGCACACCTGGAATTCAGCAGCAGAAGCCCTGACAGATCAATCTGGTGTGTAATACCATATATGCTTGAGGATTTGTGGGGATGAACTCCCTACAGAAATAATCTACCTTGATATAACCCACATCTTAATACATAATCTACATTGGCTGTTGGGCATTTATTTTTCATAGCTGACTACATTTATACTCTCATTATTTTCCTGTGATGATTGAATAAATATGGTAGCACATAGTTTATTTGAGGGACTAAAAGATAGAAAGTATAATTTGAAAATATTATATAAGCAGTGCTTCAGTTATATTATTTTTGCAATGTTGTAGTAGAGTTTTTGTGAATATAGAGAACACTTCCATATAGTTGATGTTGTAGGTGGTCATTGCTGAATTTTTTGTGACTGAGTGCAGTAGTTTATTTTGCATTTTTTGGTGTGCTTTATTAGTAGTGGAAACCTTTCTGGGACAGAGGTAGGGAGTATTATTGAGTGGCATGTGAATTACACCTCTGGATTGTTTAGACCAACTATTACTGAATAAAAGTGGGCTCAAGGGAGAGTTGGCCCAAGGTACAGTCTAGTTCTAGTTTTAGTTTGACAATTAAAAATCCCTGTTATATCTCTATTGCATGTTAGTGCAGTAACTGAATAACTGTTAGAGTAGAATAGTCATATGGAGATATAGATATTTTATGAGCTAGAATTATATGAAAAAGATTTCTTTGGTTTGGGTGATATGGTCAGCATCTGAGCTGCCTTCTGACAGAGTTTTTGTGTGTGTGTGTGTGTGTGTGTGGGCATCTGAGCTGCCTTCTGACAGAGTTTTTTTTTGTGTGTGTGTGTGTGTGTGTGTGTGTGCGCGTGTGCGTGTGTCAAAGAAAGGCAATAGGATGAAGAAAAAAAATAAAGCTGCCTATAGTGATCAAGCAATGTGCTTCAGTATCCAGCAATTGTGTTAGGTTAGAGAATGTCATTGTGTAGATTAAGAAGAAATTGTAAGGGGAGGGTAAGGCATCTGACGAGCTCCACTTAGGGGATAGTCTGAGAAAAATTGGGGAGGGGGATTTTTGCCCAACAAAGAATATGATAAATGGAAAAGTATTACTTTTATATAACTAGATTAATGAGATTTTATATGCAAAGTTTCCATTGCCGAGAGACAATTCACTCTTACCATGTCATTATATTGTATATCCAACTTTCCTACCTGCTCCTTACCATCACTGTGACTGCTTATGAGAAAAGTTAGGAGATCAGAAATATGAGCCTAGGAAAGACTGAAGCTCACTGGTTGCTGCTTGAGTTTCTCCCCATCCTTGATATCACAGCCATAAAATTCCACACAGAGCTGTCAACTTAGTTCATAGTCTTTCTTTGCATAGTATTATGCATTTGGAATATAGCTACCAAGACATGTATTTGTTCACTAGTAACTATGTCATTTGACATTGATGTGTCTTGAGCTTTTAAGAGGATTAGTGTTATTTCAAAACAGTTTTGTTTAATATATTTGTCAAACACTTACATAGTGCCCCATAAGTGTCAGGCACTGTTCTTAACTTTACTGATATTAACTTATTATCATAGATTTGCAGTGCTGTAGAATTTAATTTGAATTGAATCATTCAAGTTACTGAAGAATTCATTATGTTTATGTTGGAAGAAGAAGAGGGGTTCAAAATGTCAAAGAGGGGAAAACAGACCTAAAGTCCACATTCACTCAGGTTTCCTTACATGTGGTGTATGGTTTTCAAAGCAGTCCATGAAAGGGCTTTCAAGAGACTGCTTTATTAATCTACTTATAAATTTTTTATGGAAAAAAGTATAAGTTCTTCATTAAACTCCGAAAGGCATCTACATCTTACAATGGTGGTATGGGCAACATTGCTTAATTTCTTCTTCTTTTTTTTTTGAGAGGTTTTTTGCTATAGGGTGGATGTGATCACCAGAAAGACAGAGAGAGACAGAGAGACAGAAAGCGAGAAATCACCCTCCGGGGGAATGGTCACACCACAATTTCTTCTCCTCCATTCTCCTCTCGGGATCTTGGGCATACACACACATGCACCTGGTATGAGTTTTAAGCCACCAGGTCCTGGACTCAAACCACAGTCGACTACATGGGAGTCCAGCAACATAGCCATTATGCTGACTGCTGGTCCCCACATTGTTTAACTTCTGTCATCATCTCTTTAAGTTCTATTTTACATGGACGAACTCAAGAGAGAAATTAAAATATTTACTGTGTACAGCGAAAAAGTATATAAAAAAGTTTAGATCAAAACTACATGAGATACCACCTAAACCCAGTCAGAATGGCAAAGATTTAAAAAATATATATTTAAGTGCTGGCAGGGATATGGTGAAAGAGGAGCTCTCCTACATTGTTGGTGGGAATGCAAATTGGTCCAACCACTATGGAGAACAATATGGAGATTCCTCAAAGATCTTCAAATTGAACTACCATATGATCCAGCAATCCCATTCCTGGGTATCTAAAGGACAGGATAATAGTCAGTTGGAAAAGTGTTTGCAGATCTATATTTATTGTGGCGTTATTCATGATTGCTAAGACATGGAACCAACCCAATTGTCCACAAATACATTAATGTATTGAAAAAATGTGCACATATACTCTGTGGAATATTATTCAGCCAAAGAAAACAAGACCTTGGCATTTGATAGAAAGTGGATTAATATGGAAAATTTAGAGCTGAGTGAAGCAAGTCAAGCTATGAAACAGAGACATTGTATGTCTCCACTTAACATTTACCTACTGTCTGCACTCTATGTTAGAGACTGAAAGACTGGAGGACATAAAAGCATTAAATATTGCTATGGACCCTTGAAACAAAGTAGAAGGAGAATGGGAGAGGGGAAGAGTGTAAGAAAGGAAATTTGGAGAAAAAAATAGAGAAGTAAGACATTTGTGGGACACAGATGTGGTTTATTATCTGTTGATGATGATGCGTATGGTATTCTAAACTGGGCTGGTCTGAGGTGTGTATCATGCTGTGTAAAATCTCTTCACAATCTAAATTATGTATGGTGTTGAATGTATAAATAATAATAATAAAAAGAAAAAATATTCACTGTGTAAAATGTATACAGAATGCAAATTAATGTTAGTATAGAAGTATTTCAGTTAGATTTCCTCTCTTTTTTCCTTTTTATAAAATATTCTGTTTAATTTAATTTTTTGAAATTATTTTTTCTTTTTTCCATTTATTTATTTATTTTTTACATTATTCCACATTTACTTTACATATCAAATTTTTTTTACTTATACTCCATAGTTTTTGACAGTTAATAAACTACTTTCAAAATTTCAGAAAACTGAATTTTAAAGGTAATGTTCAAGATATTTCTTATAATTTTGTACAATTTTGTTTGTGACTATATAACAACAGAGACAGTATGGTTTTAACTATTTTTGAGAAAATATTTACATGTCAGCTATTCAAATTCTTGAAAAGGGAAAGCCCAGCACACAAGTCACACATAAAACTTCTCAATTCAGCCCTGCCTACCAAGTATTCTGTGATATACCATCTACTAGTAAAGATCAGTCTCTTTTTCTTCCTTCAACATCTTTCTCAAGATAATCCTCTGGTGTGGTTGCTCTTTCACAATCTCTACTGATTACAATGTTGGGCTGGAAAAGTCCGGGTTATTTTATGTTATAATTTCTTTCATATATCTTCTCTAGTCCTCTCTGTTAGGCAGAACTATTTATGGTGCCAGGCCATCTTTCTAAGAGTTTTTGTTGGCTTACTTGAGATCCACCTTAGTTTCATATTTTTTTGATTAATCTTCAGGTATGACATTCCCTGTCCAATAATGAGTATTTCCAATTTCTGATTCAATGCAACAAGCATTATTGAACTTATGCAAATAGCCATTCTGCCACAAAATAAGAATACTCCCAAATATTTTTGATTCAAGAGGGATCAGGAAGGAAGAAAAGTTTATGTTTTCATTTAAAGAAACAAACAAGAAAAATATTTTAACAAATTGGCGAACCTATCAACACCTCAAAAGAAAGTAAAATGTTTAAATTGGGGAAACAAAGCATAGTAAAAAAAAAAAGAAATCAGGAATGTTTTAATCAAAAGTCATAAAATTCTTTTAAAATTTTTTTCTCAATTTTTTTATTTATTATTTATTATTTTATTTTAAAAATATTTTTTATTTCATTTTCTTTTATACATTCAATCACATTATTTAGCTTACAAAGTGAATATTCCAACGTATAAACATTTCTCCCTAGTCTAATTGATAAACCATAAAATTATCTTCAACAGATAATACCACATTTCTTTGTCCCATTAATGCTTTGCCTCTCTATTATTCACTTCTAAATGTCCTTCCTCAGACTTTACTCTTCCACACCCACTATATCTGGTATTCACATCCATTTACTGTGTTTCTATCTCTTTTAGTCAATCAGTTTCTGTTATAGAGTGCGGACACTTGGTATATATTAAGTGGGGACATACAATGTCTCTCCTTCATAGCCTGGTTTGCTTCACTCAGCAGTAAATTGTCCATATTCTTCCACTTTCTGTCAAAAGCCGGGGTCTTGTTTTTCATGGATAAAAAGTATTCCATAGAGTATATGTGCCACAACTTTTCAATCCATTCATCTGTTTGTGGGCATTTAGGTTGGTTCCTTGTCTTAACAATTATTTTGCAATTTCAGTCTTATGTTCAAACTCTCTTTCTATTGACTATGCAGTGTTACCATGGTTCAATCTTTCCGTTTAAATCCTGGAAGTTAACATTCAATGTTATTATTGATATTTCTTGTTCCTAGCTTTATATTGGTCATTTTCTTGGTTCTCTTTTGTTCTCTTATTTCTGTATATGTCTTTAGTTTTCTTGGTAGAGCACTCATTTCAGAACTTCTTGAAAAGTGAGTCTTCTATTGGCAAATTCTTTCAGGTCTTGTTTATCTACGAATGTTTTTATACTTTCTTTCCATATAAAAGGTAATCTTGCTGGGTATAGTATTCTTGGTTGTAACTGTTTCTCTAACACTTTGAATATATTT